CAGCAGGGGAAAAAGGGAACAGTACCAGCAAGATCATCACTGAACCAAAAAAACCCATTAAATTCCAGAACAGGCCGGAGGAGTGAGCAGTGTAGAGTTCCTGTGTTTTCCCTACGCCAGGAAATGAAACATGGTATCAGGGATGACTGACAAAGAAAGCAAGCTGCTTTTCCACTTAATCTATTTCCTCTATTAGAAAATTCAGTGTTCATGGTTATTCCACTCCCTGGTGGACAGTGCAACAATAAATATTGCCTTCCCATCCTTCCTTAGGTTACAGCTTCTGGACAAACAGTAAAAGGAACACTACATCCCATGATTTGCTAACAGACGTGTTGTTCCTATACAACAGTCACCGCTTTACCCTTTGATTTTTTGGGGGTTTTTAAAACAGTTAAATAACCTTCATGCTGGATTTTGTCATTTTATTTAGTTGCTAATTGAGCAAGTCTCCAGATAACATAGTTTGATTTTTGTCTGGGCAGGTAGTGCACAGCTGAGCTTGGAACATTGTATGTCAGTTGTACAAGGCAAAACCTATACAGTTAATTGATAAATGGGTAAAAAAAACCCAACTACCAAACAAACAGGATGTGTAAAGTGGTTAAGTGACCCAACAGGCTTTGACATATGGAAAAATGCACAAATTAAACCTGATTGAAATGGAAGTGATTTGATGATTAGAGAAGGAGAAAGTCTAGCCTTCTACCTTTCTTTTCATCTTAAATCATCTATTCTGCACTGGTCCGGTCCTGCAGGGACAAACCAAGAAAGCCAAGGCTGCAACTGAACTCCAACTAGCTTTGAGTATCGAGGACAATAAAAAGTCCTTTTTCAGATATGTGGGGAGCCGGAGGAAAAGCAGGGGCAACATTGGACCCCTGCTAAACCAGATGGGACAACTGACAACTGACGCCCAGGAAAAAGCCAACCTATTACATGGGTACTTTGAGTCGGTCTTTCATCAGTCCCATGGGATGCCCATGCCCACTACGGGACAGGGAGGTCCAGATGAGGGAGATCCCCTGCCTTCCATCAATGCTGACCTCATGAAGGAACACCTTGAGAGGCTGGACACCTTCAAGTCAGGCTGACAGTCTACACCTCAGGGTACTCAAGGAGCTGGCTAGCATCATAGCCCAGCCCCTGGCACGGATCTTCGAGAGCTCCTGGCGCTCTGGTGAAGTGCCCAAAGACTGGAAAAAGGCCAATGTGGTGCCTATCTTCAAGAAAGGGAGTAAAGTGGATCCGGCAAACTACAGGCCCATCAACCTGACCTCTATCCCGGGGAAGGTCTTAGAAAAGTTTCTTAAAGAGGCCATCCTTAATGAACTGGCCGACGCCAACATCCTGAGGGATAGCCAGCATGGGTTTGTTGCGGGTAAGTCTTGCTTGACCAATCTCATTTCCTTTTATGACCAGAGACCTATCGCCTGGACAAGGGAGAAGAGATTGATGTCATATATCTTGACTTCAAAAAAGCCTTTGATCTGGTATCCCATGATCACCTCTTGGTGAAACTGGCCAATTGTGGCCTTGGGTCCTCCACGATCCGCTGGCTGGGGAATTGGCTCTGTGGTCGGACCCAGAGGGTGGTGGTTGACAGAAGTCAGTTGTCGTGGTGCCCTGCAACCAGTGGGGTCCCCCAAGGCTCGGTCCTCGGACCTGTATTGTTCAACATCTTCATTAATGATGTGGACATTGGAGTCAGAAGCGGACTGGCCAAGTTCGCCACTATGGAAGAAAGAGACTTGGGGGTCATCATTGACCACAAGATGAACATAAGCCTGCAGTGCGATGCTGCGGCTAGTAAAGCGACCAAAACTCTGGCTTGCATCCATAGATGCTTCTCAAACAAATCCCAGGATGTCATTCTCCCCTTGTACTCAGCCTTGGTGAGGCCACAGCTGGAGTACTGTGTCCAGTATTGGGCCCCACAATTCAAAAGGATGTGGAGAAGCTTGAGAGAGTTCAGAGAAGAGCCACGCGCATGATCAGAGGTCAGGGAAGCAGACCCTATGACGAGAGGCTGAGAGCCATGGGACTCTTTAGCCTGGAAAAGCTCAGGCTCAGGGGTGATCTGATGGCCACCTACAAGTTTATCAGGGGTGACCACCAGTATCCGGAGGAATGTTTGTTCACCAGAGTGCCCCAAGGGATGACGAGGTTGAACGGTCATAAACTCCTGCAAAACCGTTTCAGGCTGAGCATAAGGAAGAATTTCTTTACTGTCCAAGGCCCCAAGGTCTGGAACAGCCTGCCATCAGAGGTGGTTCAAGCACTTATATTGAACACCTTCAAGAGAAAATTGGATGCTTATCTTGCTGTGATCCTATGACCCCAGCCGTCTTCCTGCCCCTCAGGCTGGGGGCTGGACTCGATGATCTTCCAAGGTCCCTTCCAGCCCTAATATCTATGAAATCTATGAGAATTTAGATGGATTTTAGCATGCTCAAATGATGCAGACAAATGATGAAGAATTCATGGCCCTTAATTGAGAGGTTTATTCTTTTTTATACTTTTACAGTTATTTATTCAGTTAGTTGCATCGCTCCTAATGTTAGCAAAAGCTGTTGACACATACACATGAAATTCAGTTTTGAATGGCTTTGTAGTTAGTTATATCTTTGCATGCTCACAAAAGAATTAAAGGTTTTTGAGTTCTTGTCTATCTGAAAATGTCTGCTTTTTTCCCCTCAGGTCCAACTATTTCAGAATAGTATGAGCCAGAAAGTGCTTTGAAATATTCTTCAAATTGGGAAAGTAAACACTTTTTTTTCCCAGTCTGTCATAACTTGGAAATAGTGTAAAGGATTTTTTCTTAAACTTTCCAGAAAAAATCACTTCTGGGCTGAAACCAAATGTGGATTTTTTTTCAGTTTGAAGGGAAACATTTTCAGAAAGATGAGTTACTGAATAGAAGCGGCTACAAAGAACCATCAAACTGTACAGAGTACAACCAAATAGCCAGTACAAGTGTCTAAACAATAAAACAAGTATTTACACAAATCCCTGCCATACCCACAGTGAACTAAAAAAACCCCAAAAAACCGAAAGCCATGCCTTCTCCTAATTCTAAGGGGAAAAACTGTTGTGGCAGTCTGTCTAGCAAATTTAGCTCTATAAATGTGACCTGTAGAATTCTTGCCCAGTAATCATGGCATCATCTACATAATCTACAAATGGTTTTCATGTGCTCTGAAATAAATCCTTGCTATACCTGCATTCTGGGTTACTTGCTCAAGATGAAAGCTAAAGCTCAGCTAGCTACTCTTTTCAAAAGGAGTACCATCCTTCAGGTAGCCTCGGTATCATATTTTTCAGTGTCATTATATGCATCCATGTCCAAGGTGCTCTTTAATGTAATATCTTCAGGCAAAAAATGTCTTTCTCTTTTTTTGGTCAAAAGCCAGAGCAGCCATAAAGCACATATGAAGAATGATGGTGGTCTTCCTTGTCCTTTCGTTCCAGCACAAACGTGTGGCTCCGTACAGGAACTGACAGTTCTAACATACCATCCCAAGATTTGGCTGTGTCTATTCAATTTTGTTCTGCTCTTTATAGATCAAGTACATTTTTTAAATTGTTGTTTTAAACTGGCACCTTGCACTGCTGCATAATCATAAACTCAACTTTTTCCTTTCTCTCAATTCCGTTTTTTTTAGTCAAATATATTGCAGGAGACCATTACAATATATTCAAAATATCTCAGATTCTCAGTGACCACAACATGTAATTCTCTTCCTTATTGGACAGGCCAGATCACCTTCAGAGATGCTACATATGGAATTGTTTAGAGCAGTGGTTACCCATTAAAAGTCAGCTTTTGCCCACAGTAACACCTGAAGTCACCGTTTCCCCCTTGTCTGTAGAATATGAGACATTTGTGGTAAGGTGGATAAGTTAGTAAGTGTTGATTTTATTTTAAAGTGATTTGTCCTGTAAAATTTTCCATGCCATCTCCCTTGAGAATAGCATTGTAGCTCAGGTAGGAGGGAACTGGTATTTCTTTTGGTGTGTTTGAAATTCAGAAGAAACATGGTACATAACTTTACATTTCATTGCTACTAGATGGGATGGGCCAATGAGTGTGGCCACCAGGCACTGCAGGCCCAGGCTGACTTCAAAGGGCAGGAGTGAAGAAGAATGAAAATTGCAAGAATTTAGCACCCCCACAGTTATATGGGCCCTGTAAGAGAAAGCTGCTGCTGTTGCTGTGTGGGTTCACCACAAACCTACAGTTTTGGTGGGGATTCTGTATAGGAAAAGGAGTTGCAAATACTGAAGGCAACAAGCTGAGGGTTCCTCTTGATTGAGGGCAAATATTGAGGGTTCCTCTTGATTCAGAGATCTAGGGCTGTGTTCCAACCAACATCACTGTCTGTCTTTTAGCACCCGCCTGGAAATGGGGAAGTGGATGGAAGACCTAAACATGGCCATTGAAATAGCCAAGAAATCTACTGAGAACTCTGACTTGTTCCTGGAAAGCTCCGTGTGCAATCGCTCTAACAGTAAGTAGCATTTTCCTCCGTCCTGAATGTGGTGCCGAAGATGCTGTTTATGTTCCCTGCATTCTTTCTGCTGGAGTCTGTGATGTTCATGGTAGATTATATGATGGGTGCAATAACACTAATGAAATGCCCTTTCTTCATGTTACTTAGAATGGATTCTCCTCCATATCTTATCAATACCTTATCTGGTATTTTTGAAATCTGCAGATAGAAGCCTCAGCTTTGGAACAGTACTTAATTTTTTGTAGTCTTCAACCATCTCCTGTTTAGGAGAATTTTCCTCCATTTAACACCACAGTACTTTTTCTATCCAGAGAACCCAGGCATCTTTGATATTGAAGACGTTCTTTTATATCCCACTGCTCTTACCCATCTCCATGAGCCTATTGTTATCACAGCCTGTAATAAAGCATGTGCTGTTTCTTGTATCAGTGAATTTTTCTCTGTTCCACAGTGAGAAAGGCCTGTCTCCAAATAAGACACTCTCTGGACAGGACATTGCAAAATACACTTGCTGTTTTTACATGAACACCATTTTCAGTTTAAATGCAGCAGTGGGTCAGACCATTCCCTTCATCCCCAAATGCAGCTTGATCCTGAAGACCAGGGAGAGGTGACAGGTGAGACCTTTCAGGAGCAGTGTAACAAATGCACGGTGACATGTTCTTGTGTTGGGTCAGTTCAGGAAAAAATGAAGATGTTCAGAGGAATCCCTGCTTATATCGCTGTCTGTGCATCACAGCTTTCTAAAACTGCTGCTGAATTCTCCTTCCCCAGGATCCTCTGATGAGGTCTCTCTAGAACAAGAATCTGAAGATGACATACACTCTTCTCGTAGCTCGCTGGACAGGCAGAGCCACCACCGTGCCAACACTACCATGCACGTGTGCTGGTACCGCAACACGAGCGTCTCCATGACTGACCACAGTGTGGCTGTTGAGGTACCCCACAGGGCACAGCTCTCACCTCTCACTCTGTCTGTCTCAGCTCATTCAGCTCCTGGTCTTCCTCCAGTACATGTCTCTTGTTGCCTTCAATCATTTCTGTGCCATGAGAGCGAGCGACTAAAAAGTCAAATCACAGTTGTATGTCTGCTGGTGGTGCATGAGTGCCTGTGTACCCATACGCATGTGTTGCTATTTCCACCAGTTCAAGGAAGTGTTTTTAAGGAATGTGTGAAAGGAAACCTAGGACAGAATTCTTCACTTGTGTTTTCTGCAACCCTCAGAGGAAACTAACTATGCAGTTGGTATATCTCAAGTTGCAGCAAGGGAAGTTTGTTAGATATTAGGAAAATCGTTCTCACTAGGAGGTTAGTAAAACACTGGAACAGGTTACCCAGAGAGGTTGTGGAATCTCCATCCTTGGAGGTTTTTAAGACCCAGATAGACAGAGCTTTGGCTGAGATGATCTAGTTGGGGATGGTCCTGCTTTGAGCAAAGAGTTGGACTAGATGATCTCCTGAGCTCACTTCCAACCCTAATTTTCTATGTTTCTATTTTATGTGAGGGTCTGACTCTGGGTTACAAAGGCCTGGAGTTGTGTATCCTCTAGATACTCTACTTCCTTTTGTTGTCCCAGCGATGAGCAGATTTTTTCAAGAGTGCCTTTGCATCTTCCTGTCTGTAGGTCGTGCTCACCCCTCGCACACATGACAGAAGAGCTGTTGCGGGAGAATGTCGTTTCCCTTTCTGTTTATAAGTGTCCTAAGCTGCATATGCAGCCTTGTGGCCTGCGAGCTAGTGTCTCAGGGTATTAGAACTCACTCTGCCTCAGTTTGTACTGCACTGAAGGCAGGAGTCCACCATGGAGACCTGCAGGGCTTCTCCTGGGAGTTCTGTCCACAAAGCACCGCTCTTGTCATTTCACATCTACATTTGACTCTTGTCTAGGCAGGCAGTTCAACAATCTTTGTTCAGCCAGAACTCTCCTGCCCACCTTTCTTGGGGAGGCAGTTACCTGTTTTAGACTGAAGTTAGTCAGAAGGAAGGGTAGAGATGCACTTTTATATACTAGGTAAATAAGATATAGAGATATATAGAGAGAAGAAGCTTACATGAACCCAAGTTCACGTCATCAGATGCTGGGAGTCATGGGTGGACCACTCATTAGATTCCCAAATGTAGGAATATGCAGTGGGCAGCATGAAATAGGGAGATAGGAGGAAGAACGCCTTGCATTTGAAAGCTTGTCTAACTTTATCCTGACTGCATAGTTGGTCCTTGCTGCTGGGGCGGGGGGAAATGCATATGCTTTCCATAGCAACTGCAGTTGTTCAAGAGTGCTCTGTCTCACACTTGCAGCTTCCTGCCTTCCCTTGCATTCTACTCTCAATGATTTAGTGGAAGTAATTAAGGATGGGCATTAAAATAAAGTGCCTAGATTTTCAGTTGGCATACCAGACTAATAGGTTAACTGATGAAATGTTTATCGCCTTTGCATCTGGGTTTGGAGACCAGTTTGTTGTCCAACTGGGAGACAAACTGTATCCCGTTAGAAGGAGGCTGGCTGACCTGTAGGTAAATTTGTGCAAGTCACTACATCACTGTTTGCTATCCAAATGCTGTGACCCTGATTCCACTGGCTCAATGATACAAAGTCTGAGTTCTCTCAGCACTTTTTCTTTGACCTGTAGTGTGTATTCTAATGCAATTGTTCTCACATTTCCCTTTCTTTTAACAGATGCTTTTCTTTTGTCACTTTTTTCTTATTCTAAAATGCTGTGTTATCTTTCTCCCTCCCTCTCTTTCTCTTCAGTTTTCTGCTCTCTTGCTGTCTCTCCAGACCTTCCTCTTCGCTATTCGCTGGGCCAGGCCCAGCGGCCCAACACCGTCACTCATGTTTGCTGGTACCGGAACCAGAGCTTATCCCTGTCTGATTACCTGTGCATGATTCAGGTAAAAACACCTCAGACTCTGAGGGGGTAGAAGGATCCACGTGAGTCCAAGTACAATCTTCCCCTCGCTCTATAGTCACTCCCTGTACCTTCAACATTGTGCTTGCTCCTGGAGAATGCCCATTCAGGAGCAAAGCTGTAGTGCTTCTTCCAAAACCAGCCCTTGTCCATCAGTCTGTCTAAAGGGCTGTCTCCTTTCTACAGATATGCAATTAATGTGCTGTAATTTCTCCATGTATTTTAAGCCACATCTGTTCCTCATCACACTGTGCCTGTTCTGCTACTCACATTCCAATTTGCTGCATATTGACTTAAATACAGCTTCCCTGCAGTGTGCTGTCCACTCCTGCCTCAGCTCTGTGTAGTTACTATGTCCTAGTGGGCATCTCAGTCTCTGTCAAGGATCCTTTTTCGTTTGTTCTCCTTGTGTTACATTTTCCAAGTGCTGTCCTGTATTTGCTTCTTCATGTAAACTGAATAACCAGTGTTTTAATAAGCTGTTTTTATTAGTTCTCAGCTGGAAGACAGGCTGCAAAGGAGGACAGAGCTAAGGCAAGGCTGGTAGGGTGGTCAAAATCATGCACTTCTCAGTGAAGTGTTGCAAGTCTTGAACCAATGCAATTAGAGATTTAGAGACCTCTTCAATAACAGCTGGAGAATAATGATATGATTGAGGTGACACCTGTTTGGCTGAGGTGGTCCTGCATGGGTACATTACTGCTGTGCACATGTGAAAGGGAGTCACTTTGTGTAGGCGGCACACTGAAGGTGCAGAAAGAGGCTGAGGCACTTCATTGGCAACAGACTATCCAAGAAAGACTGTCCAAGCCCAAGACAGAGCTCTGGGTTAATTAGCTGTTAGATCCAGGAGCATATAAAGTGGTACCACAGCAACCTTTGTTGTCTTCTTGAGAATGGGGATCTGCAATCTCACCTCCATTTTCTTTTCCCTCAATGCCAGAATCAACTCTCAGGATACCTGCTGAGAAAGTTCAAAAACAGCAATGGCTGGCAGAAGCTCTGGGTCGTCTTCACCAACTTTTGCTTGTTCTTCTACAAGACTCACCAGGTAAGCCCACACAAGTCAAGTAAGAGCTCTGCGCACTAAAGCAGGGGTACTCAACCCCTGGCTCATGAGCTAGATCCAGCCCCGGTGCCATGTCATCCAGTCTTCCGGGCTCCCCCAGATCTGTTGGCTATAGCCTTGCATGCTAGATCGGGTTTTGCATGCTAGATTGAGCAGTGTAGGGCCCATTCCTGGTGCATAGAGACTGCGTGGAGGTGGTGTGGGGTCCTCAGAGCTGGACCCCAGCTGCAGAGGCAATGTGGGGCCCCTGGAGCCAGGTGGAGTGCAATCTTGTCCATGGATTGACCCTGCACCATTCATCTGGCCTTCTGGGCCAGAATTGGGAGCACCAATGCAGTAAAGGTTAGAGGTGAGATACTAGATGGAAGACAGAGATACCTCTTTTTAATTCATAGACTTATAGATTCGCAGACATGAGGGCTGGAAGGGACCTCAGAAGATCATCAAGTCCAGCCCCCTGCCCAAAGGGCAGGAAGTCAGCAGAGGTCATAGGACCCCAGCAAGATAAACATCCAAATGTCTCTTGAAGGCGTTCAAAATAGGTGCTTGAACCACCTCCGGCGGCAGTCTATTCCAAACCTTGGGGCTCGGACAGTAAAGAAGTTCTTCCTTATGTCCAGCCTGAAATGGTCACGGAGGAGTTTGTGACCATTCGACCTTGTCATCACTTGGGGTGCTCTGGTGAACAAACGTTCCCCTAGATCCTGGTGAGCACCCCTGATGAACTTATAGGTGGCCACCAAATCACCCCTGAGCCTGCGCTTTTCCAGGCTGAAGAGTCCCATAGCACTCATTCTCTCATCATAAGGTCTGTTTTCCTGACTTCTTATCATGTGCGTGGCGCTTCTCTGGACTCTCTTAAGCTTCTCCACGTCCTTTTTGAATTGTGGAGCCCAAAACTGGACACAGTACTCCAGCTGTGGCCTCACCAAGGCCGAGTACAATGGGAGAATGATGTCCTGGGATTTGCTTGAGAAGCATCTATGGATGCAAGCCAGCATTTTGCTCACTTTACTAGCTGCAGCATCACATCGAAGGCTCATGGTCATCTTGTGGTCAGTCATGACCCCCAAGTCCCTTTCATCCAAAGTGCTAGTCAGTGTAGCACTGCCGAGCCTATAAGCATGCTGCGGGTTTTTCCTCCCAAGGTGGAGAACCTCTCCTCTAAGTGCACTTTATAATAAGCCGTCATGTTCACTGAAGGCAGCAAATGTGGCAAGAAAAAATAGCAGGCAGTAATTAACGGAGCCAGTTTATATAAGGTTAAGAACCTTTTTCACACCACTTTAATTGGGATATCCTGTTTTGTAAGTGGCATTGATCTGTAGAGCGTTAGGGACAAGTGTCTCGGTGTTGCAGCTAATAAAGTTCAGGAGAGTTAAAGAGACTTTTGTTTCTACTTTTCCTTTTCTCTTCTCCCAATTCCAGTTGGTTTGCCCTCCTTCCTTTTACATCTCCGCTCAACTAACATTTTGAAATAAGCCTCAGGAGTTGCTGTAATTCTGGAGTGGTCTCTCCGTCTTTCTATAGCCGTCTTTGCCAGCCGGCTAATAGCACCTTTGGACCTTGTTAACTAAAATAAACTTATTTTACATTGTTAGGGCTTCTCACCTGGAGGATCAGGCATTGCTGGGAGGATCATCTTTGCTTTAGTGTTGGAGTAGTGCAAAGGGGGGGAATTCAGGAGACTAAAAAACAAGAGAATAGAGACATGTCATTTTATTCCCATAATTGAGCCACTTGGAGAAATTTTCATCATTATTTACAATATAAAGAGACTTCATGGGATAAAAAGGCAGTTCTTGTCCATCTAAAAGTGAGTAAAGCCGTTCCTGAAAGTATGGTAAGAAAAGGCAAACGCATCCTCTCACTCTGCACTGTCCATAGAGGATGGCCTTCACTAAGACCTGTGCTGTCTGGCTGTGTTTCAGGATGATTATCCATTGGCCAGTCTCCCACTCCTTGGATACACAGTCAGCACCCCAGTGGAGGCAGATGGCATCCAGAAAGACTACGTCTTCAAGCTGCAGTTCAAATCCCATGTGTACTTTTTCAGGGCTGAGAGCAAGTACACCTTTGAAAGGTAAAGTCATGCCCCCACGTCCATTTCAGAGTGTAACATTTGTTTTATTCACAGACTGCTAATCCAGAGTTGGGATTTGAGAGCCTAATCTTTGTTCCTGTACACAAGCCAAGTGACTTTGTGAATCATATTCTGGAGAAGCAGGGCAGAATGCAAATATTATGTACTAGGTAGGGTATTCTTAAAGGTTGCAGTGGCCCCTCTGGTCACTACTCCCTCTGTGATCACTATAGATCCCTGTTCCCTTGTGAGGTGGTTTGGCCAACTGGGAGATCCAGCCTTCTTCTGTGTTCAGTATATGAGGAGCTAGATCTTATTCCACCTATCAGGTGCCCAAGTGCTATCCTATTTCACCTTGTTTGAGTTTCTCTAAAACGATTAATGGAAAAAGTGAAAGATTTTTCCTTCCTCTTTCTCACTACTTTTTGTGATGGACTGTTGAGGCTATGGGGCCAGTGCATTACGAAAGTAGATGCACTGAGTTTTTCAGGGCTTCAAGCAGGAGTAAAGTTTGTCCCTAGGGGTCCCTAAGAAGCTCAGTAATGTAGCACCTTTAGAGGTACGCATCTAGGGAGCCATATAACACTCAGTGTCCTGCCATCCCCCTACCCACAATACATTCAGGCAGGCCCAGACAGGCTTTGATTTTGCATTCATTAATAGAGTTTTTTATTTTAGATTCAGTAGTAACCCTTTTTCTGAAAAGAGATAAGAGATGAGATTAGACTTGAAGACTCGCTGCTGACTTCTGTGACATTTGTAGAACCTGTTTTTACTGATACACATGCTTACTCAAACAGGGGCGGCACTAAGGGGGAGGCCATAGCCACTCTAAAATTTGCCTTAGCCCCCCTGTAGCCACCCCTCCCAGCACTGCTCCTGTCCAAGCCCACCGCCTCTCCCCCTCCCCGCCCCCTGGGCCACTGCTGTCTGCCCCACACTGTTGAGCCTGCCCAGCTCACACCCGCAGAGGTGCAGCACTCAAGGCCTGTCCCGGACTGATCTGTTTGCATACAGTATGTATTTTTATTCTCCTTTTGCAGATAACATAGATAAAACATATGTTTAGGTGGGTATTGTTAAAAAGACTAATAAGGATGTTTGGCCAGATGTATAGCACAGGCCCTCCCAATTGCCTGTCTAGCCCACCACAGCCCTCCCACTGGGAAGAGGCTGGCATTGCCCCTGTACTGAAAGCTTTTATTTTTAAATTATGCTGCATACAAAAGAGCTAGATGCTGTATTCCACAATAGGCAACTGAACCTGAAAACAGAGTGCCTAATTCAGAAACCACAGGCAAACCTCCTATGCCAATGTTATGTGGCAATGTTATGGTTTTCTCCCCATATTCCCTTCTGCTTCATCTGTTTTTGAAGACATCTTCCTACTTCATCTCCCCCTCTGACTGGACACCATTATTCTCATGTCAACAAGTCTAAAGGAGCAGTTCCCAATCTAGGTGTTGTGACTCCAAATGGGATCATATTCCTTACGAGTGGGGTCATGGGCCACACGGATATTCCATAACCCCAGATGGGATTGAAGTCCAGGTGAGGTTGTTCATGAGTGAGTTCATGAGTTCATGAGTTGGTTTGTGAGCCCTGGCGTGGGGCTGAGGCCCAAAAAGATTAGGAGCCCCTGTCTTAAAACATGAAGACTGCCCCCCTCTAGAGTTGTGTTCATTCCAACTTAGCCCCTTTCTTTTTAAGAGTTTCAAGGAGCAAGTTCAAGAGAGATTTTGAAAAGGCATACAACTAGTTAACTTTTTAATTATTGTTATGAATCTAGAAGTGTTGATCTCTAGAACAATCATGGGAATAGGGAATTTTGTCCAGTTTATCATCAGAGTTGCTTGTCTGCTACTAAATAGAACCGTCCAAAACAGTTCTCAGGGCCACAAGTAACTTAAACAAAGAGTGATTTCCTAATACAACTACATAAGAATTGTGTGTGTCTAAATATAGGAACTGGTGTATAGTAAAAACCTTCCACAAGAAGTCTGTCCTTGGGCAGCATCACTGACAGTAGGCTTAGTCTGCCACTGGTAGGCCATGCTTCAAACTGGGTACAAATGGTCTCCTGGGGACACAGATGAAGCACAATGTCTGCAGAATGTTTGGGCTGGGTTTCTCTAACAAATTCAAGTTGAAATTTTAGAGACTGTCCTTATGCCTTCCTTTCCAAGGTTGATGTTGATCTCTTCTTCAGAGACATGCTCCCCATCTCCAGTTTCACTTGATGCTTTGTTCATCCTTTCCAAGACCTTAAGAGTAGAACAGAGGGCCCTGAAAGTGTTAGTCAGATACTTAGGTCAAAGATATATGAATAGTAACTTATCTCAGTCAGAAAAAGGCCTTTACACAGGATCCTAGGGTATTTTTTTGTAACTCTACAAAGGACTATAGAACTTCTGGGCTAAATTACATTTGTGAAATACTTATTGTCAGCTGTTCTCCATACCGTGACTATCAAGTGAGGTGGGCACGCTAGAAGGGAAGGACAGATTACAGCAGGACCTGGGCAGGTTACAGGGGTGGGCAAATAAAAATAGGATGGGATTCAATCCTGACAAGTGCAGGGTGCTGCACTTGGGCAGTAAGAACCAGCAGCATACCTATAGGCTGGGGAACTCCCTTCTCGAAAGCACGGTGGCAGAAAGAGATCTCAGAGTCATTATTGACTCCAAGATGAACACGAGCCGACAATTCAAGAACACGGTCAGTAGGGCTAACCGTACCTTGTCCTGCATCCACAGATGCATCACAAGCAGGGCCAAGGAGGTGATCCTCCCCCTCTATGTGGCACTGGTCAGGCTGCAGCTGGAGTACTGCATCCAGTTCTGGGTGCCACACTTCAGGAGGGATGTGGACAGCATTGAGAGGGTCCAAAGGAGGACCACTCACATGATCCGGGGACAGCAGGGCAGACCCTATGAGAGGCTACGGGACCTTAACCTGTTCAGCCTTCAGAAGAGAAGGCTGAGGGGGGACCTGCTGGCCGTCTATGAACTTACTAGTGGGGACCAGCAGGGTTTGGGAGAAACCTTGTTCCCCTGAGCGCCTCCCGGAGTAACAAGGAATAATGGCCATAAGTTGCTAGAGAGTAGGTTTAGACTAGACATCAGGAGGCACTACTTCACCGTCAGGGCGGCTAGGATCTGGAACCAAGTTCCAAGGGAAGTGGTGATGGCTCCTACCTTGGGGGGCTTTAAGGGAGGCTTGACGCTTACCTGGCTGGGGTCATTTGAGCCTAGTTTTCTCTCCTGCCCACAGCAGGGGTTCAGACTAGAAGATCTACAAGATCCCTTCTGACCCTACATCTATGAATCTATGAATGTTGACTGGATGTGGCTGAAATAGGGAATAGTTCAAAATAAACTTTACGGTGCTGTTGATGATAAATCATCTGACTGGGTGCAGATCGTTCTTACATGCAACCAGCTGGGGGAAACAAATTGGTGGGTTAAGTTAATGATGTAAGGATCTGAGTAGCTGACAGAGAGAGTAAAGCGATGTTGTAGAAGGAAAGCATAAACTTCCTTATTTCTACAGACTGGCTAGTTCTTGCTCCCTCTAATCCAGTACACCTGACACTTTGTTGTAGCTGCTTTAAGCAGCATCCTTGCTAGTGTGTATGATTGAATACAACTTGACACATACATGCTGCTTTTGCTATGTTGATCCTGCCAAGGGATACTTAGCTTTGGAGCCATTTTAAACCCATCTTTTAATTTGTTCATTAATACAGGGATGTGATACACACTGTGTGGGGCTGAACGAGTTGATTCAATTCTCCCTTTGCCCCATTCTCCCCATCTTCAGTAAAACAGTTTGTATTGCTCACCTCACAGCATATTTCAGCCTGAATATCTGAAAGTGTTTGAAGATCTTCAGATAAAAGGGTGCTGTAGAACTTGATAGTATTGCATTCTGGACATGAGAGCCAAGCTAATACATACGAATTGAGACCTATCTTATAAGCAGTGGGTGAGGCTATGGGCATTCTGATGTTCTGTTCTTCCTCTCTTGCCAGGTGGATGGAAGTGATCAAGAGAGCCACAAGTTCTCCAGCAAGATCTAGCCTGTTGGCTCCCAAGGATGAAAAGGAGGAGACTCTCACAAACTGATGAGGGCAGAGCTGGGTCTCTGCTGTCAACATCTATTAGTGGGCTTGGGCGGGAATAGGAGTTTGGGGCTGATAATGCTGTTAAGTTACAAGCTGATTTCCACCTGGGGTGGGAAAGGTTGTTAAGCAAGAGAAGGGACAAACTGGAATCGCATCAGGTTCAACTGGCCTTGAGGACACTGTCTGCTCCAATCGCACCTAGTTGAAGAGACAGAGAACCTGACAATGGCAGCAAAACTCCCTCTGTGGGAAAAATAATGGTTTGTTATGCGCACACGTTGTGGAAAGGATCATGTTTCAGTTATGTGGATTCTGGACATGTTGGAGTAGCAGGTCTGGATGGAGACAGAAGCAGTACCTGTCTCTTTCGTTGTCACTGGGTGTTCAGCAGCTGTCAGAGATTAATAGCAGCTGTCAGTGGTGTTCCTTGGCGCACAGTTGCTGGTGTCAGGCACTCTGGCTCCCAGCAGCTCCCTTATCCTGACACAGTCCAGCTAAAACCACCTATGTACTGTTTGCTGCTCTTACCTTCAGCTTACCATCCACAAACATATTAGACTCATTGGAGCTCTGCAGATGTATCCACTTGAATGCTTACATTCATACCTGAAAACAGTTTCTGTAGAATGACTGAGCTACTCAGGAAACTGCCATGGTAACACCTTCATCTTGGTATTTTATTTTATTTTATTTTATTCTGTTTTTGGAAAGGGAATGGGGAGAACCTGAACCTTTGTTTGCTTAAACACGTCATGTGGCACAGCTGGGAGCAGGGGATGTGTGAGAGAAAACACCTGTGTTTTTCCTGAGACCTCAGAGGCTTCCTAACATTGCTTGTTTTACCTCCTGAGTTTTTTGCCGCCTGTACTCAGGGAGGGCTCACCTGGCAAAACCTTTACTTGTCCTCTGCTGGGGAAGGCATCGCTTAAGGCAGGGAAAGCCAACAAACTACCCTCAGCATCCTCTAGTGCAGTGGTTCTCAATCTCTTTTGTACCAGGACCCATTTGTAAACATCAATGGCCAGTCTGACCCAGTGCCTCCAGTCCCCAGCCCCGCAGTGTGTGGTGCAGTGGGGGATGTGGGGTATAGAGGTAACTCTGACAGCCTGCAAGGGAAAAGCCACAGTTTCCCATGTTTTCCTTTCTAAAGGAGAATTGGTTTTTAAAGTTTGTTGATCCATTTTTAATGTTTGTTTGCAACCCTTTCATATATTCTTGCAACCCACAGGTTGAGAAATGCTTCTGTAGTGTAGGGGAAAAGGAAGAGCATCTTTTTTAACAGGTGTGCCACAAATTAGCTCTGCACCTTTCCCAAGTGCCACTCTGATTCCCTGCCTCTGCCCAATCTAGCTGGTCCACCTTCTGCTCCCTGAGCTCTGTTTTCTGCTTCCTGTCCTGTCTGCTGCTGTGCTGCCTGTCCCTTCCTTGATCTGTTGCGTGCCACACACACAAGCTGCCCATGCCACAGGTTGGCCACCTCTATTTTTGGGCAATTTGCTGCTGCTTGGGGGGGGGGGTGTGAAGGGAAGAGGCATTTTTTAAAACACTTCTGAGACAGGAGAATGTGCCCATCTGAAAGTCACTGCAGCTTTATGCTTCAGTACCATTTAGGCACTTTTGCCTAAAACATCATCTCTAAACAAGGAGATGGGAATCCATCTTCACTTTTACTATGAAGGTGTAAGTGACTTGATTCAAAATCGATGAGATCCTGGCACCTGTTCTGGAGGGCTGTGTACCCTACCTAGTATGAAATATTCTCATTCTGCCCTGCTTCTCCAGGTGTGGTGTTATCTGGATGCAATGCAATGCAGCTTTGCATTGGGCAGTATTGCCATGCCCTTCTTTTAAAGAATGCCACTTGCAATAAGCTAACAGACACAAACACTGCTGATAGGCGGACATGCATGGTTGAAATGGGTTCTGAGGAGCCAATTTGTGTTTTAGGTGGGAAAGTATTTATATACCAAGGGAAGGCACAGTGAGGTGTTAGAGAGAGAGAGGGAAGTGCTACATGTCAAGAGGATGGGAGGAGGAGAAATGCAGAGTGACCCATGGAAAACAGGAGGTGCAGAAGCTGGTGTACAGAACTCTCTCCCCAAAGGTGGAATCCAGGGTTGTGCTGTTTTGATGTATGCTGGGTGGGAAAGGATTAGTATCTCAGGTAGAGGGTTCCTAGTAAAGACCTCATGACCTTTCACATGGCATCTTCATCTGTAAAGAAGCAGAGATTGGACCAAATCCATTCTCTGTTGCCACTGTGTCATAATGACCATTGTAAGTTAAATGGACTTTTATTAATTTATTAGTATCTTAATTTTTTAAAATAAATGGTTGTAGATGTATGGACATGTATTTACTAGATGTTTCCCTTGTAACTATGTAAGTGTGCATGTCTAACAGTGGAAGTAAAGAGCACGTTGGTATACAGCCCCATGGACATGTCCTCATCACTCCTGGGCACAACATCTGCATGCAAACTACATAGGCCTTTAACAAGAGGCACCAGTGGGACAGGAAGCCTGTGTGATGGTGTCTTCTGAGAGGAACTGCCAGTACATAATTTTCCCCTCTTTGTAGCTGGCGTAGTACATAATTTTCCCTTCCCTTAGCCTCCAGAAATAGCTTTGCAGAGTCCAGAACCTCATTCTTCACAATACCAGATGGCTGAGCTTTTCTTGTCTTCCTCCTCCCTGAATGGCACACTGATCACTCCTTCCCTGGAGCTCCCTGCCTCTGGAGATAGGAGGAGCCCTTGTGCCCATGGCAGATATCTGGGTCTGTGGGAGGAATGGGCAAAGCTTCCCTTTGTAATGAGAAGTTCCCTGCCTTCTCAGTGGGGTTGCACTTACTTGCTGATCTTCTATAAGGGGCTTAGCAGAGTGGAGTTTCAAGATTGGTGTTTTCTGACTATATTTGCACTGACCCTCCCCAAATGCCCTTCCAAAGCTGCTGCTTAGGCTTTGAGCCAGGGAGAAGTGTAGGATGGTTAGAAGGAAAGGCCTCTTACAGCTCTGGTTAAAGTATCTATATTTGTATAGCTCCGACTGCCTCCTTTTGCTTCTTTAAATGGTCCCATGGTTCATATATGTGGCATGTGACTCCCTACAGAGCCAAACAAGTAGAGGGGGGCAAACCCCAGTTACTGGTAAGCTATTTAGTCTCACCCTACCTCACCTGGTATCCCTGGTTATCTGTTGTGTGGAGAGGGTGTGACCTGGAATAGCAGGACAGGTTCCAGGTCAAGCCTGATTAATGCTGGCAGAGCTCTGTTGAAAGAGCTTGCACAACACTGCTCTATTCAATGTTGGCTTTAACTTGTTTTCCCAAGAACATTGGTTTGCCTCTGCCAGCACCAAGTTTCTGGGAGTTCACACATGCCCCATATGTACTGATACCATGGTGCCTCATTGATTTGGGATCTGCAGAAGTCCTAAAGCAACAGAAGGCATTGTCCATATGCCTCGAGAGTAAGTGTGCATGGAAAGCTGTTGCATTCGATTATTGAATCAGCCATGTGCTCTGTGAAAGAACTCTCCAATTTGGAACCAATCACTTCCCATGCTTACCCTGCTGCCAAGGTTATGGACATGTGATGTGGCCTTTCAGGGCAATAGGGCAACAAGTCACTCCAAACATCTGGCCAGTGCAGGGTGTTTTAGGAGGTGTTTCTCTGCTGGGGACAGGCAATGGCCTGATGGAATTTGCATCACTTTTTCTATTGTATGAACATGGAAGACTCCTTCAGCTTTTCTGTATTAATGAAGTTGTCATGTTTTTTCTTTTTCACAAAAGCATCTGACTTTGACTTTTCCTCTGCATCCAGTAGCCAGATAAGGAACCTTCTTTTCATGGGGACCAAAGTATCTGTGGCTGCTAGGCACGTGCACCTGTGGGCTGTGCTTCACTGTAACCCTCACTGCTGCTCAATTCTAGTTTTTTCAGGCTGGGGACAGACATGGCACATAAACTGATTTAAGTAATCAGAAACTGGTTTAAACCTGTAAAAGAATAGATGTTCAGTGCACATAAACCAGTTTGAAAATGGCTGAAACCAGTTTAAGATAAACTTGGTTGAATGTAGTAGCAGACTTAACTGATTTGGCTCAAACCAGTTTATGCAATGTCTGTCCCAGACATGAAAGGTGTGTGACCCCAGCAGCTGGGGGGGCACAGCTGTGCTGGCGGTGGTGGGAGCATGGTGGCAGCGGAAGCCTGGCAGCGGTAAGTGTGGCACTCCCACAGACACCGCTGGCACTGTCAGCAGTGGAGGGAGGAAGAGGGGTGGCGAGTGCCAACCAGGGGTCAGCGACCACCCACAGGTGCCATTGGTGGCGCCCAGCAGCAATTGTGGACTGCCCGCAGATGCCACTGACAGCGGTGGTGGTGGGCAGCGACTGCCCGCAGACTCTGTCAACAGTGTCGGCGGTGCCTTTTTGCAAGGGGTGCACGTGCACCCCCTATGCATTGCCTCTGGTCCCAGACCCCTTGCTGGTTTAAGATAAACCAGACACCTGCAGCATCCCAGCATGCTCTCTGGGCTGGGCAGGGCTCTCTGCTCTACAGCAGGGCTGGCCCCACCCCCCTGTTCCCTGGCTGGAGCTCCAGCAGAGAGTTGCAGACACAGCAGGGTCTGCCTGGCTTCCCCCTGCCCAATCCCTCCCTGCCCCCCACTGCTGCTCGCTGCTTGAGTAGGAATCCTGCCTTCCCTCCCTCCCATAGTACAGATCCCAACCCTACAGACCTCAGGCATGTGGCATGCTAGCTAGCTAACAGTGAGGTGTCTCTGTGCGTGTCTCTCTCCAATTTCACTGGGACAGGCAGACAGAACAGTGACTGCTTAGGGCTATTTGGAGCTAATCAACAGGTCAGCCGCTAAGCTGTTTAAGAAGTTTGAACTAATGTGCAGGGCTGTTGTTTTGCCGATGAGGTGATAATCACTGTATCAGCCCCCAGCTGGCTTGCTTGCCTGTCAGTTTGCTGCAGACAGTATAAAGAAGCAGGGAGGGAGATTGAAAAGCTCCGTGTCAGTAGATGCATGCACTGTACACCCCTCACTTGCCTGAGAGTGCTAGCAGGGGTCTGGCAACACTCCCACCCCTTGAGCAGCCAGCTGGGAAAAGCCTGGGACCATGCAGGCAGCCCTCCCTAATCAAAGGTCCTGCAGGCCCTGGCCATGCCACGCCCCCTTAGCTCAGCACTTTGGAAGGAAGGGAGGGCTGCTCTAGTGTCCCCCCCGGCTTCTAGCCTGAGCCACTGCAGGCATGTGCCTGAAGTCCCTCAGTCCAGAGAGAATGTCTGTCCAGTTACAAACCAGTTCAGCCTACCCTGCAAAGACTGAATCAATTCAGGCTCAGGCTTTTTGAATGTCTGTCCCTAGCCTCAAGGACACTTCACCTGCTTTCGCTCCTTTGTCTTGCATCATGGAAGATGCAGAGCTTAACAGTAGCAAGCAGCTTCCAGCAGCTGTGGGGAAAAATGATCAACTTAGATGCCTTCTGAGAGAGATTCTGGTGAATCTTCTGTATAGAGCCCTTCTTGGGAAAGTTTTTTTCTTTACTAAGTACTTATGTGCCCCTGATCATCTTTGTTTTTGAGCTTCTCACAGTTTCTGAATCCGTTTATCCTCACTCCACACCTGTGAAATAGGACAGTGCTACTAACCCCATTGTAGTAGGGAAGGGATGCAGCAAGAGATGGGTGACTTGCCCATGGTCACATGGAATTTGTTGGGGCAGTGAACTGAACCCATGTCTCCTGATTTCCCAGGAGCACAACCTAACCCTGGATCAGCTTTCCTCTAAATAACTGAGTTCAGCAATTGATCTTAGGATTTTCTAACTTTGCATCAGTGTAGACAATCTACAATGGCTGAGACTTCAGCATGTGGAGAGGCACAACCTTCCCTTAAACAGGACCTGGGCAACATCACAGAGCAGTTTCCTGACACCAATCAATCAAGGAATGGCTGAAACCCATAGAAGAAAATGACAAAGGAATTTTCTTCCTTGGACAGAGAAAATGAACTCATAAATGCTGGGTGATCTTCGCCCACAAAACAGGCTTGTACTCACAGGGGTAAAGC